CGCTGCCCCCTCGGGAGCCCGGTTAGTCCTGACAGCAAAACCAGCAGCCCCTCAGCAGCAGTGCGGCAGCAGAAGCATCTCAGGCATCCACCACCACCTCATGCAAGAGCAACGCTTGCTTGACTGGACACAGCCAGGGGCTCTCCCGCTCTGGCCCTCACAGCTCAGACTTGTGGGTTCAGCCAGCCCAGCTCTGCGCTGGAGCTGGTGAGCCTCCCTCTTCCCGAGGTCAGGGGCAGGACCTGGAATGTGATGAGAACCAACAGGGATGCCGCAGGAGCAGGCACATGGCTCTGACGGGCAGTGCTGGTGCAGTCATCCACAGGTCTCGGGGACCACAGCACCCACACTACCCATTCCCAGCACAGCCACCCCTACCATGGTGAGTGGGAATCCCCTCAACTCGGCCCCTGCAGGGCACGCCGGCAGGAATAACTGGCTCAACAGCGTGCCTCGGACAGCGGGGACTCTGCCTGCCGACTGTCATCGCCAAAGTACAGTTTGGAATTGCCTCTCCCCTCCTCTGGCCAAGGGCTGCCAGGCACCTGGAGGCCACCGATGTCACTTCAGGCATGCACCGCCACCGCTCTGCCAGCCTTGGGCTCTGCACCCTCCCGGCAAGCCCCGGGTGGAAGAAGCACATCCACTCACCAGGTGGGGGAACAGGAGCCCACGCACCACAGCCATGCCCCACAGCCCCCTCGGACCCGTTGCTGCAGTGGAAGCTGGAATAAAATTCTCCAAGGAGAGCAGGAGCACCTGCCTGGAAGCCGGCCAGCCTTCCCGGGGCGCTTGCAATCTTACACACTCACCGAGAGCCAGGGTTGGTGTCCGCGCGGGAAGCCTTGGGACAAGGTGAGGAAGCAAAGCTCTGAGAGCGGGCACTGCGGTGCTGGGGAGCCATAGAAATGGTTCCCCAAAGGAGGTGTGTGTGAAGGACGAGCGTCCCATGGTTTGGTACTGTTACAAGACAAAACTGATTTGTGGGCAAAGGGAAATAAGGTGAAAACAGTCCCCTCACAAGAAAGATTTGTAGTATTGAAGGGCAATAGCTGCTGCACACCAGGATTTTGGATGCCTTGGTCCAAAATCCTACACCCCAATGAGCAGCACCGTGCTCCAAGTCTCTGCAGAGCATGGAAGCAAACCAACCACCACCAAGGTTTCTCAGCCTGGGGCATTGTTGGTTTTTTTTTTTTTTCCTCCCCATTCAGGAACTTAAGCCAGAGGCTACATTGGCTGCAGCTGGAAAACAGCCTGTCCTGGGGATATCTGGCAAAGCATCAAGCACGCTGGTTCCCTAGCTACGCGGTTGTCACAACTTCGGCAGCACACTTTAACCTTTATGCTTTTCATGGATAGGGGAGGCTCTCTGCGCAGCAAAGCCTTGCCTGTTCTCCAGGAAACCCTATACCCTGTCTAAATCAAGCGGCAGGGCAGGCGAGAACAACATCCCCACCTGAATCCCAGCCATGCCACTGTAACACAAGCCAGCCAGCCTGCCTGTCCCGGTGGGGACCAACCCGGGCATGCTGTCGGCAGCTTAACTGCTTCCCATCAGCACCCAGGACTTCCCCTGCTGTCATGTCGTGACAGTCCCATCAAGGTGATGGGGAAAGATGAGGAAAAATCCCAACATCATCAAAAGAGCTTCCAGAGCTACACAGCACCTCGAGGACAGCAACGTGGCTGCCAGCAGTGACACCAGGGAGCACCGAGCATGGATCCGAATCACCAGGACCTGCCCACGCACAGGCTGTCCTCGCCAGCTTCATGCCAGGCTACACTGGCAGCCAACAAGGTATTTCTGCAGAGGGGCCAAAGCTGCGGTTTTGAAAGCATCATCAAGCCTTTTCGTAAGAATCTCATTCACCAGCTAATAAGATCTCGCGATTCTCAGCTACCCTTCAACATAAAAGTCCAGAAAAACATTGGCTGCCTTTTAGTTCCAGCTCTAGTCTGAGTTCAGCAAATTACTTTAGTAACAACTCAACTAGAAATGCATCAGAGGAAGATTTTGTACCTCGATCACACCGCCTTCCAGCCCCACTTGCTCTCAAGACACACTCATAAAGGTGATGAGTTTTGAGTTCTTGAATACAAGACTGTTTTTGCAAAATCCATACAGCAAGACTATAGATTTTACATCAGTTTGCCAACCTAGCCTAAAGGTGTGTGCCGAGACAGCACTCAGTTAAATCCCGGTCTCCTGCTCCAGTCCTGTAACTTTATTCTCCCCCTTCTACTCCACTGGGACTGGGAAAATCACCTGCCACTGTATTGCTGTTGAAACCTTAATCAAACCCCCTCCCCACCGACATTCTGCTCCTCCAGGACACCCATCATTTACACATTTTCTACACCAGGGCGGTTTTTCCAGCATGTCACCACTTTCCCCCTAACTAAGAGGGCAGGTTACACCAGCCACCCGCCAGCCTGTGAGAATCCACTGGGTGACTCCGGAGAGCTCTGCCAAACACGCAACACCCTCGTAGGGCATGGCAGCCCGAGGCTCCCTTTCAAAGTTTGCAGTGCATGAGGAATATAAGAGGCTGTGTTTGCAGGAAGAGGTAATATCTTTTATTAGACCAAATGATACCGTTGGGAAAAACTGACAAGCTGTCAGGCATACAAACCCTTCCTCAGGGCTGAGGCAGAGGCCATGTAGGGCCGTCACGGAAATCCAGTTGCTCCATCCTTCAGAGATCGATATCTGCTCCAGCTCAGCAGCCTTGTTATCTTGCTTGCCTTTACATTCTTCTGCAGCTCATCATCATTCAGGCTTTCCTCTGACTCGCCATAAATATTCCCTGCTCCTGCTGCCCACACGCTCCCTGCTCGAGGAGCTGGCACTCGAGCCCGCAGCAGAAGTTTCCTTGACTGCACATTCGAGGTCCTGCCATGTCCCTGTCCCGCAGATCACGTGCAACAGCTCCACTGCGACAGAAATAAGGTTAAGGTAGACTGAGGGAAAATCTGCGTGCCTTTGGTCAGACCCAAGCAGATCTGAGCAGTTTGCAGCTGAAGCCATCCTCTATGACTGGGTCAACCTTTCGGGCCCGGTTCTGCCGCAGCCACATAAAGGTCCTCAAGAGAAAGGAAGGAAAAGCTGAAACTTCAGCAAAAAGGAGCCTTGTCTCTTAGCTCACCGTTTTGAAGAGGCCACGCTGTCACAGGGTCATTCATCCTTTAGTACCAACATGCTTCCTCAGAATACCTTCTTCTCCAGTTCCTCAGTTATTAACTGCACAACACCGTTATTTTCATTCTTTTAAAGAATCCTTGTGTTTCAGTGGGGGTGACTTTTCCTCTCTTTTAATCCAAGCAGAGTAGAAGTTTGAGGCTGGTGCTCTTTGAAGCGCTGAAGTTCAGCACACCCATACAAAATGCTTGCTTGCTGCTGGCTGCAGACTGCAGCTGCTGTTTGCAGTGATATCCCTCGAGCACTGGGCTTTTTAGGAGAATTCCTGCAGAAACATCATCCTCAGGTACAACAAACGTCTTTGAATTTAGCTCTCTGTCATCTCTCTCAGATTAGGAATAAAATACTAGCAATCGCTTGATACACTTTGGCAAGGATAATGAGACAGTACCTCTTACCATACCGCTTGGCTGGAGTCCGACACCTAACAAGTTTGAACTCCCTGTCTTCTCCACCCAAAAGAAAATCTGAATAAAAGGCCATACACTCCAAGATTACTTCTCCAATGGTATCCAAATTCAGAGGAAGAGAGAGTAAATGTTTGCCATAACCCCCAAACAAGAAACAGAGTTTTCCTACCTGGACACATTAATTCCGTTTCCCATGTTTTCCTCTGTTCAAAACAGCACCACAACAGCAGCGAGCAGCCCAGCTCACACGGGTTCCAGCGAGTGATAGAGACCCATAAACACAGGACAGGCAAAGCCTCCATGTCATTACAGCCACGAGAAGCCAAGCCAGCCCAAAGAGCTTTATGCATTTCCAAGCCTGAACTAGAGGGCTTGCTCTCATTCTTTCTGCCAGCAGCTTCAAGCACAGCTGCAGTGACCTGCCACACCAGCCTTTATCTACAAGTCCCTTTTCGGCTCAGGAAACAGCACCACAGGATCACGTGAGTTAGGAGAACGGGTAATAGCAACACAGACATGTCAGCGAGCAGCAGCGGCATCCAAAAGCATCATTTGGAGTAGTTGTATCCCTAACCTCTTCTTGCCCTCACATAGTCTTCTGGAATTATCTTTCTTGTTAAGTCCAAGAAAGGCCCAAAACACAGTCTTACAAGGTAAGAAATCGTATCACAATGCTAAGGCAAGAAATCGTATCACAATGCTAAGGTAAGAAGCAATTCTTAGTAAGTTTTAATTTAAATTTTATTACGTCTTCACAATGCTGGAAGTTTTGTCCTCCACGACATTAGAGCACTTGGTCTATATTTAGTTCTGCTAGCTGCGCTAGACTGGCTAGGAGACGACGCGTCTTTAGCCAAGTTAACCGCGCTGGCAGGAGCCAGCTTACAGCAAGTCGTTTGCCAGTTAAGTGGTTCCCCAAATAGAGTGACTTCAGCTATAAAACAGCAGAAGGTTTAATGTTCTAATATACACAGGGAACTACTTTAAAGTGTGGGCAAGATTCATATTAGCACTCATCTAAGCATCAACAAGAAAGGTCAGACCTGCAATGTGCTGGCTCGCAGAAGCCACATTACTTAACACAATTCAAGCTTAATACAGACTAAAAGCCTAAGAAACAGACACCTGAAACCAATAATTAGATGTACAAAGACAAGGCAGCTCTTCCAGATGCGCACATCCCTGTATGTTCACCGAGTGCCCTTTACTGAAAGCTCTTCTGTGGGAAAGGGATTCAGCCCACTAGCAAGAGGCAGCGATCAGATTAGGAATTTTTATTTAGTTAAGTACACAATATTTGTATACAATATCAAAACCTGGTTTAGTCTTTGGAGAACAAGATGTCTAGATGCAAAGCAAGGCCATGGAGACAGTATGGCACTGCCTGTATGCTGTGCCTCAGCCACCTGCCTCAGGTGGAGTTAAACTACTCAATATACAATAATGGAACCAAGTGTAGGAGTTGAGACTGAGCAGTCACATAAAAACAACTGTTCCCTCTCTGCGTATCAAGAGAGTGGAGAGGGATGGGATCTCCCTCCTATTATCATTATCACATGGTTGCATATCAGCACCGGAATCTGTCCGAGAAGTTGGGAGACTTCGGCATAGTCAGTGGCTGATCACTGGGCTTCACTTCTACGCTGCGGTATTTGCGTATTGGGTTTGCCTTGTGAACCTGTAAAAAAATAAAATCAAGGACAAAATGAAGCAAAGGGTTGCAGTTATGATGAAGTTGAAACTAAGCCATCAGTGGGATGGCTTAGTCCTGTCTACAGGACTACCACACTGGCTAGGGCACTGGAGTGAGCCACCAGGAACACGCAAGGCATGCTTTGGGGTTGTGGATTTTACAAAGATCATTCTGCTCCAATGACTACATCTTACAGCTCCAAAAATCAGCCATCTCAGCAGAGCTGCCACTTTTTTTTTTTTTTTAAAAGACCAGTTGTAAAGTTAACGAGGAGTCAGTCTGCAACGGGGAAACTTGAAAAGACAGTCTTAAATGCAGCTCAACACTGACATTAGCTCACTTAGTATATTCACACATCCCTTCGGGTTACTTTACAGCCCCTGTTCAGAAGTAGCTCACTTACCAGTTCTTGTCTTAGCTTAGCAACTTCTTCCTTTTCACGCGCCTCTTGTCGCTGTCTGACCTGCTCTTGATGCCTCTCCCTTATGGCTTCTATATTTGCCAATCGTTTTTCAAATTCTTGCCGCTCTTTAGCTCTTTTTTCCGTTGCCAGTTCAAAGCTTTCAGGAACTACAGAACCAGAAAGGCTCTCTAAGTTTAGAAATAGAGGAGATAACATTGGTGCAAAGACAGTCAGGTAAAGCAGAGCAGCAGCACTAGTGTCAAATGGAAGCCTCCCTCTGGAGCGCTTCACCTTGCAAGGGTAGTTAGTAGATACCTCCAGGCTTCAGGAAAAGAGAAAACCTTACGCCCAGATGTGAGCAGTGTTAATGCAGACATTACCCCATCACGGGTGTTCTCATAGGAGGAAGCAAGCACACAATTGTTAGTAGAAACAAGTTTTTGGCTGGTTCTATACCCTACGAAGTTTAGTCTACCCTAAGCTGTAGACACCTTCATCTCATTAGAAATGGAAGGAAAAGACTGACAGCTGCTGCAGAAATGCCAGCTGTCTCTACAGGGAGCTCCTTGCATACTATTTACCCTTATCCCAAGCTAGCACACATCAATCATCTGCCAATTGTAGCATAGCTGTTAAACACAGCTGCCATGTTAGTGCAGGACAGGGGGGCAGTGGAGAGGAAACTCCCCCGTTCCCCAGGGACACAGGCTGTTAGGGAATTAGTTGATTAAGTGCCCAGCACTGTTGGCTGTGCCAAACATATAAAGAAGATAAAGTCTAAACATCACGTAATTGCATCAGTTCGAGTTAACAGCCAAGCCTGTGTAGCAAGTAACTCTACCTGATAACAGCTTATTTTCCTTTTTAGGCACAAAAGGCTCCTGGTACACCACTGTGTTGGGACGAGCTTTAAAACATGCTGCCTCTTTCTGCCTTTTCAAGTCATCTTCAAGCTGCAAGAGAAGAGAGCCCATCAAGCGCCAGGCATAACAAAAAGACCACCTCCCTGCCCCCTCAGACTTCAGCATTCCCAACATTGGAAAAGCCAGTTTGACTTAGATCAAATCATTTAATCATCAAACTATATTAAAGCCACAAGTTGTGTCACTTGTTGCCTGCCTGTTACTTTTGCCAAAAATAGCCTGAAGAAAGTTTCAGGTGTCCACTGCAGATTTCACAGGAGAAAAGCAGTATATTATTTATATGTCAATAAATCCCCAAGCACAGAGATGGTCAGCAAAGGGATCCAGCTGCACATAGTTGCTGCTTAGAAAATACCCCACAGCTGTTCATGCAGTTGTGGTAAATCCCATCACTTACCATGAAAGGAGAAAAAAAAACCCAATCCACCAATCCTTAACCCACAGCACAAGTCTCATGCCAAGGACAGAATAATTCATTGCTCAAACTCAGATCCTGATTCAACTCAAGCACTTTCTGAAGTCGATCACAACTCCACTAGCTGCTTTAAGTCTGGTCATACCTGTTATCCTTTTCATCCTACCTGCTGTTTCCAGCTCTGTAGCTTGGCAGCTCCCCGTTCATCAATCTGCAGATTGAACGGTTCAGGCTGAGTTGGGTTTTTGACCTTCTTTTCTGGCAGCTTAACATGGTCAAAGTAAGGCAGAGGTAGCGCTTTGAACTTTGGCACCTGAAAGAAACAACTTGAAATATTTCTTGCCCTTTCCTCAAAGGCACGAAGCTTTGGAAGTTTAACAGCCAACAGCAAGAAGCAAGTCCTGCCACATCCTTTTTATTTAAGGAGTGGAATCCAAGGTAGCTTTTAGTTCTTACCTCTTCCTTCTGTAATTCTTCCATTTTTTTCTCTTTTTGTATTTGCCGCTCTCTGTCACGAGCATCGAAAGAGAAGGGGCAAACTTCCACATGCCTCTGCTCTGGCATTTTAGGTTTGAAGGGCACTCCATAATGTGGCATAGGGTTAGCTTTGATCACAGGGACCACCTCTTTTTCCTAAAGGGAGATTAGTGTTAGGATCTGGCACAGCACCAAATTTTTTATTTTTCTAGAAAGACTACAACTCCTGCCAAACAAAACCATGAATACTAGAGTTCCTTTAATGAGGGTCACAACAGTGTCAAGCAAACACTCTGGACACTGCAAAAATTAGTAATCCAAAAAGTACCAATTTACAGGCATCCTGAAGCACAGGCAAGTTCTTCCTCTTCCAAATCACTATTAGTCCTAGTAACTCATCCAAGTTAGACTGTAATTCTTTAACGCCCTCTTCACGAGAGGGAAAGGAGGAAGGACATGATGTATTCTGCTGAAGCACAGGCAAGTTCTTCCTCCTTCCAAACCACTATTAGTCCTAGTACTCATCCAAGTTAGACTGTAATTCTTTAACGCCCTCTTCACGAGAGGGAAAGGAGGAAGGACATGATGTATTCTGAATCCTGTTCCCCACCTCCCAGGGCTCTAGAGTGACTGTGGGGAGAAGAAAGGTCATGTGCAATATCTGCCCTTCTCAGTAACAGAATAGGGAAGGGCAATATCCTTTAGAAATCTAAGCAGTTTACTTTCCTCATTCATAGCAGCAACACCTCAGAAACCCTAGTCAGTGCCCTTGTGTTTAAGTTGAGTTATTTCATTTTGTATGAGAATTCAGTTTCTGTAAAATGAGTAGCAGCAACTAGATCCTTAGAAGGAAATGGCACAGAGAAAGATGACCACTGGAGGAACCGAACCAGACCATCACACCCAACTGGCAGAGGTACAGCAGGCTGGCCAAGGCAGTCACCATGGTGGGACCAGAAGGCCCATTCACAAAAGTTACCTTTTCTTCATCTCTGCCCAGCATTCGGGTTCTGCTTTTCAAGGTGAAGACTGGAGACTTGGGGACTGTAACAGGAAGCGCTTTCTTCTCTGGAACACCCTGTTCAGAAGAGCCAGTAAGGGAGTTACCCAAGCTTAAGTGCCAAGAAAACACGCTACAGAGAAACAACATGACATAGCAGAGTATGTACCCATTGCAGTTCTTACCTAATGACAGACAGTGTTTACTGAAGATTATTAAATGCATAATACAACATAGCTACAACATTTTGAAGCTACTTGCCACCTCAGTCCTAATTCCTAGGTCTGGGTATTACTAAACTTCTTACCACAATGTCCTCCAGGATTTTCGTGGGACATGGCCTGGAATGGAATTCAAAGTGCTCTTCCTCCTGCTGCTTCTTACTCTCGCGCTCCTGAATCCTTTTTTCTATTTCCAACTCAAAGCCAATGGGTTGCGTGAGTTCCTTCACAGGGGGCTTCTTGGGCAGGAGTGGTCCACCCTCAAAGATTTTGTGATTGAGTTCTCGTGCTTTGAATTTGTACCTACACAGGAAAGACGGAGATAGTCACCACATACTGTACATGGCAAGATGCAGCTTCTAGCAAATGGCTTCTCTCACAGCATAAAAGAGCAATAGTCCGGTACAGAAGCAGTTGTGCCACACACACGTTACATAGCGTACAGTTCTAGTTAGCAACTCCTCCTTTGCTTTTGAAACAGCAAGACGTTAAGGAAAACCTTACAGATTGCTTTCTTGGAAATCCAAAACTTTGTTTACAGAAGAGTTTTGAAGTGTACGCAGGCTGTACTGCTATGCTGGGTTTGCTTTACTAATCATAGGCTGTACTCAACCCAGAGTTGAGTACAGCCTAGGAGCTCTCCTAGGAGCACTTTCTTCAAAATGAATTGCCTACTTTTCACATCCCTACAGTCAGAACCACAGGATTATGCACAAGCTAAAAGAATCTCAATGTTTTTATGCTACTCATTCTTTTACGCAAAAAGGGTACTCTTGAGAAGTGATATTTTGGCACCTGAAAGATATTTCCAGTGTAGTACAATTCTCTCTTGGAGGACTAGAGTAAACCTTTACTTACTGTAGATTTTTTTCCATTTCCTCTGCTTCTAACTCTGCTGTAGTTTTGCAGGTGACAGGTCTGAAGCGCTGCTTTGTTAGAAGCACCGGCGTTTTAGGGTTTGTAAGCCGAGCCTTCACCAACTTTCCTGGAACTGGGCCTATAAATTCAAGTCACAGAGACCAGCAGTTAATGGCAAGGCCTGCAACAGACACAGACTGTTTGCTCAGTAGGGCAGTCAAAGCATTGTTCTGGCTCTACCACCATCTCTGCGGACAGCCTCCCGGCTGGACAAGGCCAGGACTGCTCACCTTCATCGGATTTCCTGCTCCTCAAATGGTAACGAGAGGGTGTGCGTTTTTGGAATGCTTCTACCTGCTCAGCAAGGGACACATATTCTGATGTGGTTTCTTCGAGTTTTCTTTTGTTTCCCTGGGACAGATTGAAAGGTTTGGGGATAGTGGGTCCCTTCGGCATTCGCCCCTGGAGACAAAAAACCCACAGTCATTACGGCCATTTAACACAGGATGCTTCGATGACATTTCCTTTCCCCACTGATTCACAGGATCTGTCCCTTCCCCTTATTGAAAAGAAGATAACACGTAACATTAGACATAAGTCTTAACTGTCTGAACATGCACAAGCTAGTCATATTGAGAAACTGTATGAAGTAGAAGATTAAAGCACGAAGTGTAATGACCATAAGATATGACCCCTTTTCCAAAGGGTCCTTTAGAGCCTTGTGGCAATGCAGATACGCAGTGAGCTAACAGTTACGTTTGCACAACACTTGCTCTCCTACTGTAACCCTTTTTGCGGGTTACCAGCAGCATATGTGTTGCAAAAGCAGAAAGAAGGTGACATCAAGAATTATGTCAAGAATTAGTCAGCTGGCTGCTGGCAATATTCTGGTTCTCACCGGAGAAGGAGGATGCTTTCTCAGTACCGCTGCAAAATCCAGTTCCTTGTACTCGTTCCCAGGTTGGCCTTCCACATGTTGTTTAATTCTATTCTCCGTGCAGAAGTGGAAGTCAATTGGCTTTGTTACTTGACCAACAGTTCTCTTCACAGGTTGTCCTAAAGAAAAAGAATATGTAAGGTCTGGAAGCCTGGGGGCAGGGATTGGGGGGGGCG